CATTTTCCAACGATCGAAAGAACTGCATTAGTTATCATTGCATGTTGGAAACAATTCCTTGATCCCTATTTTACCTTATATAGGGTGTATATCAGATCTCAACTAATAGCTACTAATAAGTCACATGCAAGCAACTTAAAGACTGGTGTGAAAAGATATTATTGTAATAAATTGCGATACTTTTGCAAAACCTGTGTGTTATCACGCAAAACGCACATTTGCGTTGACATAAATGTAGTTAATAATTAAATTGTCATTATTTATTCCTGTGTTGGTGTTTTATATAATGTTTTATGTCGATATATTTTACTTATTGTGGACGTAATGAAATATATTTTTTATTTAATGGTGTTTTTTTTATTCTTTGTTTTAAAGTGCAGATAGTGTTGATGTGGGTAGCTGGCATTTCACTAGTTGTCTTAAGACGTCCCATTAAATTTTAATAAAGGTTAATATTGTTGCTATAGCTACATGTAAACTAAAAAGTATTCAAGTTATCGAAATATAGAATACTAGCTATTCTCGCGCGGTTTCACCCGTTACTCGACTCCATTTGATCGTAGCGTGATGTTTTATAGCACTTAGGAACATTGTAGCTATCTGTCAGTGAAAGAATTTTGGCAAACCGACCAGTCGTTCCAAAGATTACCTCCTACATACAAACTTAGAAATTTTACCTCTTTTATTAGTATAGATTACTTAGTTTATTTTTCCTACGGTTTATCGTTACATAACTATAGCTGTAAGCCTTTTGTAACATCTTTATAACATTATGGTATGCAAATAAAATATGACTATTACTAACAAAATAAGGTCTCTTTCTCTGTCCCTATCTCCCTATGTAAGCTTAAATCTTTAAAACTACGCAACAGATTTTGATGCGATATTTTTGTTCATAGAAGAATCGAGGAAGAAGGTTTATGTATATTAACATATATTAAGTAGTAGAGATTTCGTTTCAGCATTGCATCCGTGAGAAGTCGGGGCGAGTAGCTAGTTGAATATAAAAGGGTAGAAGTAAAGTATATTAAACAGTTGTCATTAAGAATTTTAATTAAAGTAATGGAATTACTGTATAATACGAAATATGTTTGTAAATTGGTAAACTGTCGATCACAAGGGACACGTTATTGTTAATTATTATTCTAATGCTGTCCATCTTGCCCAATTATAATCATTGCCACGGTTTAGTCATCATTTTGTTGGGTAAAGGTCAACTTGTGTGATGAGGCTAATTTGTATAACTATTCATTGGTAGTTTTTCTTATATTTATTGGAAATATCTTCAATATATTCAAGTTTATGTAAGTACTAGTTTCCTCCTGCGGTTTCACTCGCATGGTATGTTGATAAAAAGTAGCCAATGTCTTATTCCGGAATGTGTCCTATGCCTGTGCCAAATTTCATCCAAATCCGTCAGTCGTTTTGGCGTAATTGAGTAACAAACATCCAAACATCGTAACTTTCGCATTTATTAGTAAGATATAAAAAACAGAAAGATGTGCAAGAGCATGTCTGCAATTCGAAATTTAAAGTGTTTCTTTCTCGATTCTATTACACGTTGAATCTTTAGGAAGTATCCGCGAAACGGTGCGAAACTAAATTCGCGTGCGTTTGTTTTGCGGGCAGGTTTTTTATTTAATTTTTACTTTATTGCTTTCAAATAAAGTTGAAAATCTGATAAAGTGATAACTTTCTGTACTTTGTTATCCAAACAGCGGTTTCGAGAGCCTTTTTTCTCGTATGCTAACATAATGTTTTCGTTTCGTATTTTTACCAATTTTCCTGCATCCTTTGCAAGCAATAACCGTTTGCGTATCGGAAAACAATACAACCTTTTTGAAAGAATACAACCTTTTTGGAAGCTTCCATTTTCTATTGAATAACCCTTTGTTCTTTATTTCAATTTCGTGTTCGGAGTTTGTTTTTTATCGAACAATTTGCACGCGACAGCTAATTAAAAACTTGTTACACGTTGCGTAAGGTCAAAAGTAAAGTTATTAAGTATGAATACGTAGTAATTCATGCTGTCACAGACACAATTATCGCAGAATGCAATCGAACTCAAGAGAGTTGTCAAAATTTCAACTCGGTGAAGAAATTAAAGACTTTTTTCATAAACCTTATAGTTAGTTATTAAAAAAAATATGTACCTATAATAACAGGCGTTCATTTCAGGTAAAGTATTTATCATTGACATTAATAGTATTGTAAGCACGACAATGTAAGTGGAAGTGCCTTGGATTATGACACTTTTATCTCGTCCACAAAGTAATCCCCTCATTAAAACTCGACGACGAATAATAAATAAAAATAAACGATAACATCTCAATTTTAATGTCTCGACCAACAATGACGTTGGGAGTAATTGATATCGTACTTTAAATAATACGTTATAATTGCAAGTCCAATATAAAAAGGCACATATTCAAATTGTGTGTGAACTGAAGATAGGTCTGCGTAAAATGGTTAAGTGTACAATTATAATGTCATTAGCAAATGTCAGGACGTCGCTACAAGGTTACTGCGTGCAGAACGCGTATGCAACCACCCACGGGTAATATTATTCGTTGCTACTTATGGCCGATTAAAGTTCCGAGTTGGACGAAGCCTTTAGCTTGGCTGTTATTTTGATAAGCACCCTAAATTGGTTCGGTAATCTACAAGTAATTGTTTGGAATGGGCGTGTCAGTTTTTAATTATAATTATATAATTGCTCTTTTGTATAGTTTCAAAACCGGTAGTGGAGTTCTAAATGGCCCTATTGTGGGAGTGAGAACGTTGATGAAGTATAAGGTACGGCACGTAAGGAATGTAATAAGCCTTTGTGATAATTTGATTGAATAAGTTGAGTCAGAGGCTGTCTTGTTAACTATAGTCAGCCATTTTGGTATAGTAACTATCGTTATATAGACAAAATTTATTGAAAATGAAGACTTAATCACATGAAATTAATGAGAATTGGCTGCGCTACTAAAGATGGCTTTATTATGTGAGAGGAAAATTATCAAATGACTCGGGCGGGAAGGATTGTCAGACTCTTGCTGACTAAAAACGTCCCCGTTCCTTCACCTGCTCTGGGCCGAGGCCACGGTGACTGCTCTTACCCCGCAACCCTGGACGAACATAAGCCCTAAAGGGCCCTCTCTGTGGTAGTCTATTGGCTCTTAGAGGTGCGCTGCTAAAGTTGGCTTGGTTGCGCGACGTTGCCGCTGTGATTTGAAACTAGTAGAGCTTTTCTCAGTTAATTTATTTCTCAATAAATATTTGCCATTCGAAATTTGGCAAGTTACTCGTGATGTATTCATTAAGTTATTGAATTATTTAACCCAATCAAACGCCTATTTGTCTTCACAATATGAATGGTACAAGTTGTCGTGTCAATATTCATGATCTTTATTCCATTACAATAAAGGTGGGTTTTCTTTTCTATACATAATAATGTGTAACCGATCGTTTGTCTACATTCATTAGCGTGTAAATATGCGAATTACATTATCGTCCGGTTAGTTGATTACGATACTTAACTAGCGAAATGTATAATAATAGTCATTTGACGAATACTAAAAGTACTATTGTGCAAATCTAACAAACGTCAAATTTCAACACAAAACATGGTATAAAGGAGAAACGCTTGACTGTATAATTTGTAGTGTTTCATTACTTCATATTTCTTACTACGTAGAAATAACATAAGTGGATGATGGATTACACTCCTGGGGCACCGTCGTTTAGTGGTAATCTTTGCTTAATTTAATTTTAATAGTCCGTACGCCACTGCAACGTTGGTTCGTGTGGATTTTTATAATGTTCCGCGTTCAAATTTGATTTTAGGCGGGAATTTTTTATAGGTTATGTCATCGTTTTCGGTTGATTCGTGTTACCAACTTCCGTGTCAATAAACGTATAATTTTAAATAAATGTCAAAATTGTATTATTAAATTAAACTTGCTACTGTTTACTGCTACGATGTACAAGAATAAATTTACTGAATGCTTTTGTTAGTCATATATTTTTCATTGAACAAAATTTACATAGAAAATGCTACTAAATAACACTACGCTTATTATTATAATGGAATTATCAACCACAATCACCGGTAGGTACTGCTGCCTACATTCTATAAACTTATGAATTATTTATGGAGATATGTTAAGGAATTTTATATTTAACATTCAATAAGTGTGTATAATGACAATTTTATTACCTTACTTGTCATGTCAATGCGCCCATATAAGTTATGTTGTATCAATCGAACTTGTCAATGTTTTATTTACGCGTATTTAGAAATGTTTAGAACGACCATTTTATCTTGAAACTTTGTATTGAAGACTAAACGTCTTAGAACGGTCGATTTCAATATTTTTTGAGGTTAAGTACAGTGGTATGTGTGGTCGAGTGTCAAGTTATTCTGGTTGACAGTAAATTTCCGTGTAATTGTGATTAAATAAAAAAACAGTAGCCTTTCAGATCTCGTTCCAATGGATTATAGAATTAGCCATATTATAATTCATAAATAAACTTATGGCTCGATCTTATGGTTGACGAATAACTTAGATTCAAAGGCTTTGTACATTGAACAACTTTTGTAAGTCGAGAAAACCTGTAAAAAGATTCTATTACTTTTACTGTTGCCGCCATTTTGTAGTAGTTTTTGCGCAATTTTTATTGCCGAATTGTTCTATCTACACAGTGATAGATTTAGTGTAAATAACGTATTGCGAAAAATTTAAAACTTTAGCAATTGACATAATGTTTATTAATTGCTACTTGCAACAATATTAAGAACTAACTTAGAGATCTATTACAGCAATAGAAATCTGGTGACGATCATGAGTTGCCAGTTGCAATAATAAATTTGTCCATGTTTAAATTTATTTAGACTTATTTAAATAAGTTGTCGACTCAGTAGTTCCTGAGCATAATGCATTCCAACGTACTCTTCAGCTGTTATAGTATAAATTTTCACTTTTTACTTAAGTCTTAATTTTCTTCACCAGGTCCAGATATCCCCGGCTTCCTCCTCCAGCCGTTCCGCAAGCCGAAGCGAATCAGAACCGCCTTCTCCCCATCACAGCTCCTGAAGTTAGAACATGCGTTCGAGAAGAACCACTACGTTGTTGGAGCTGAAAGAAAGCAGCTAGCGCAGGCGCTAAGCCTTACAGAAACACAGGTTAGTTCATTTTTTAATAAAGATTTTTTGTTCTAGACAATATTAAAATTGCCAATGCTTTACATAATTCTTTAAAAAGGAAAATTATGTTGCTCCTACTTTCTCAAAAAAAAAAAAAAATCGAAAAATAATTGTAATTGGATAATGTGACAAATATACGTAGGTAGTAAATTTGTGATCTAAATTTATATAGGTATATGCAGCGATAATTGTATACTGGTTTTCTTCAAGACTTTTGTCAGTTCATTCACGTTTAGTGTTTTTTCTAGTAGGTTCTTAATTTTTTCTTTAGGTCATTTTAGGCCATTTTTTGTGAGGTATAAATCATCAAATGAGTCTCCTCTCGGGTGAAGCAAGAGGGAGAGTCAGACTCTTACAGACTAATTACAGATTAAAAATTCACCTCATTCCTTCTCCTGCTCTAGGCCGAGGCCGCGTTACCTTACCTAATACTCTTGCCTCGCATCCACTGATTATTTATATCTGTAGGCTAATAATAAAACACACAAGATAGTGTAACATCAAAAAATAATGTTGTAATTAACGTACTTATTAGTTTAAAATAATACGATCATTGTTTAATTTAATATAATTAATATCAAACCGGTCAAAGGTCACTCCGTCACTGATTTTGCCCATTAAAAATTGACATATTGCTCTATATATTAAAAAAATAACGCTATAAAATAATTTCCAAGTATCAATGTTATCTTAAAGTAAACAATAAAACATTTAGTATTAATTAGATATCGTGATATTGTCAAAAAATTGCTTTTATCTCACAGTTTTTTTTTTATAATACTTTTGACGATCAATAATATTTTGTTATTTTTGGTTTCGTGACTTTATTGTACGTGTTGTGTAATATACTGGCAATACTTAAAAAAAAATATTGTCTACCATTTCGTTTGTTTAAAAGTATTCTATTATTTTTTTTAATCTCTCCGATTAAAAATAAAACCTCTTTTGCTTTACAAGTATTTATTACCAAAGGCCTTTGCTCTTTTTTTCGAGTGTATGTAAGTATGTATGTATTTAGTGCACATCACCGAAGTTATTCCTTTAAGGTATAGGCAGATGTGTGGTGACTGTTGAAATGTTTACTACAGAGAAAATAGATTAAGATAGAAAGATAGCATCAACTCATAATAATTTATTTCATGATTAATTACTACTACAACAAATACTATAATTATTTCCAAAGGGTAATGCAAACCATATTGATCCAACAAAACGATAACTATTCAAATATCAAGATGTATTTTTTTATCCTGCGTCGTGGATCAAAATATAAGATCAACTTTATTATTGAATATCGAAAACAATTTTTTTTAAATGGCGGCTGGGCAGCCGCCATTTAAAAAAGGTCTCTTGTTCTTCTGCTGAGCATAGAGGTTGAAGTTACTTGGCCGTTCCAGGTAATGCTTGAAGATTGTTGGATTTTTGACAATTTCTCATCAAAGATCACACCTTATCACGTATTGTTGTAAAAAATCAAGTCGTTTGAATTGTGTGGTAAATCCTACCAATAATAAAAACGTTTCAGTTGGTTAGTAAGTATGGATGGATGTTTGTAACTCTTTAACTACTGAATGAATCAGAATGAAATTTGGTACTGAGATAGATTTTAGTCTGGAACGTATAGGCTACTTACTAGTAGTAGTACTACTGCGGCAAAAGTGCTGATAGAAACTATTTAGTTAGTTGGAACTATCTAAACTATCCACCCTATGAGATTAAGGTACCAGGCGAAGTGGTTTTTTTACAAAAATATTCAGAGCTATTATCATAGGCATATTATTTTTATAACATTCTATTTTATGCCAAAAAAGTATACAATTAGTATCTCCTACAAAAATAAATCTAAATAATAACCCAGTTTTTCTATAAATCATGACTAAAAATAAATAATTCAACAACATAAATTTAATTAATTTTGAAACGATAATTAGTCTAAAGTCCTGCTTTTCACTTGTAATAGTTTTAGCTATTAATAAAAGTCAAACGAAACTAAAATATAAAAGAGAATTTATTTATCAACGTTAAATTAGTAGTTTTTATTTTTATATTTTATTGCACAAAAACTACGAAATTGTTATAATTATTTCGGTGTGGCAACATTAATAATGTGCGTTTTTGTTTTTTATTTGTTAATTATTTTTTTTGCGAATTGTGAATTATTTATTTAACACGTAACATGGAGAAAGTTTTAATTATATTAAATGACTTGTTTGCTGGGTAATAACGGCAATGTTGATTAATCTTGTCGCGGAAAGATCGGAAAACGAAAGAGAAATCTGGCTGGACAGTTTACACATTAATTAGATACAGGTTTTTATTAAAACTGACTATTTTGTTGGTGATGGCGGCAATCCAGTTGGCGGATTACCTGATGGTAAGCAATCAGTGCCACCTATAGACATTTACAACAACAGCGTTGTTGTGAATTGGGGATTAACACAGCGCAAATAAGGCCCAATTTCTGTCTATATAATAGTAGTATTGATAAAGTTAAAAAATCTATGGAAGCTTCCTCGCTTTTTCACCACCAACAATGATGAACTGAATATCTTTGGCTAACGGAAAGATATTCAGTAAAACCGCAGAGCACGCGATGACGGCAAACTTCTGTCTTAAAATAACGATTTTTTTGTAAAGAGGCTAGAAATATAGTAATAGATTGAGGACACAGCCTTTTTAAGTCCAGACATAACATACGTAGAATAATGTGTAAAAAATTATGATGACGATATATATATATTTAAAGAGTCACCCCAAGGTAAAGATAAAGTAAAGGTATGGAAGAGCCAAGCTTCGGCACGGAGTGATAACAAGGCCTCACAGTAAACCGGCGTGAAACAACCACAGCGTTGTGTTTCACCGTATGAGTGAAGTTACCGGAGGCCCAATCCCTCACCTGCCCCCATCCCTTTCCAATTCTTAAGTATTCGAAATTCTTATCCCTAAAAGGCCGGCGCCGCACTCGGTACTCTTTTGGTGTCGCGGGTGTCCATGGGCTGCACTGATTCCTTACCTTATCAGTCTGATCGTTTGCTGACCTATCCTTACTAATATTACCAAAATGCTTTCACTAATTGATAGCTACGATGTTACCGAGTGCTATAGGCTATAAAATATCACGCTACTATCAAATGGAGCCGAGCAGAGTGTGAAACCGTGTGAGACTAGCTAGTTCCTTATAAAGAGGTCCAGTACCACCCACACCTTAACCTTCTCACCTCATACCAAACAAATCAAAGTCATAATGAATCAAAAGAAATAATAACGGACATTATCGTAACAATGCAATCGCGATAAGAGTATCAAGTGTTGCGTCTAATTGTTCGAAACTGAGCGAAAAAACCGCTTTAATTACTGGATCATTAGGCGTTGGCGTGCGTGTGCGCAGGTACAGTCAACACGCGGTTGCTAGATACATGTATTGTTTCTCTGTTCGATGATTTCTTTATCGCGTTTATTGACTGTTTAATGATCTGGAGACGATCTTGGTTTTTGTTGTCAATTGCATTATGTATGGGGTTGTGTGGTTTGAACGTTCAGCTTGAGAGCGATGGTTGTTGAAGCTGAGTTTTCTAAGTCGGAGAGATTATAGGGCTTATGAATTTTCTTAAATTTTTTCGGCATTTCTTCTCAGAGTAGTCAGAAAGGAAATGCCGGCTTCATCTAGTTTTTCACATATAATTTGACGTGTAAAAGTGCCGTTTTATGACCTATTTGCAAAAATAAATTCATTGTTTCATTGTTTCAATCGATTACTATCTAGTAACGCGCTTGATGGAAGGCTAAAGGTTCACGCGTATGTAACCTTACTAGCGTAAACCGGGTCTTACAAATAGTCCTTCTGTGTTTTGTGATTTTAAATTACTGGGGGGTTCTGCTAAAATATTCCGTTAAGAATTTTGTTAACGTCCTCTAAGAGAATGACATCCTATTCATTAGTAAATTAGAATGTACCTACTACTAGTGCATTGAGGATTATTTTTGTTGATTTATTTAATCTTTGTTAATTGATTATTTTGCTATCCGTGCACAGTGTTGGCAATCGGGTGTGGTCAGTTACTAATACTAATAGCTTAACCTAGTTTCTAAACACATTTGCAATGTTTTTTCTTTAGCTATTAAGTCGGTACCGTGTTAAATGTAATTGTATGATTTATTCACATTTTTTAGCAGTTCTGTCTAATTATTCGACGGGAAAATTAATTGTTTCAATGACGATGGACGTCGACGATTAGTAAATAGACGAAATTATAGGTTTGTAAATAATTGAGTGATGAGAGAGTTTTGGTAGTTTTTGATGCTTAAATCTTTAGGTTGTTTTTGGGGTTAGGTTAACTTTGAGATCCGTCTATGATCAATTAGTTAGTGTCAATCCACTGCCGAATTTGAGAAATTTATCCATGATACAGACAGGATGACGATCGTAGTTTCTTAGAGTATTTTAGTAGGTAAGTATCTTAGAGCGTTGTTGTTGAGTCTCTGTCAGATGTGTAGTTCCTCAATCAGCTCTTATGACTCTTGAAGAAAGCATGATTAATAGCTTATGTAAGTATTCTGCTATATGTCTCCATTCAGTTTTCTAAATTGCTATTATATTATGGGAAGTAGATTTATTCCTTATTTCTATGTGGTCTTCGCTATACCTATCTATGTGTTTGGTTAATTACTTCTCTTACCATAGCTAAATACTCAATTTGCACCAGAAAAATTGGAAACTCATATAAACTATGTGCTTCATAAGTATCTGTAAAATACAAATCTGATTTCTTCTCCCAATAAAAAAGAAACAAAACCATTCCACTAATACGTAACTATAAAAAATACACATTCGCAAAACAAGGCAGAGGTATACACTAAACAAAACATTGCCCTTAAAAATATTGTAAAATAGATTCCTAGAAATTACATCTGTTTCATTTAATACCTCCATAAGACATGGACAACTCAAATATTACTCAACATCCAACTAATTATTATAA